TGGTTTTTTGTTTGTGGGGGGGGGGAAGACTGGGGTTGGGGGAATGGGAGAGCAGCCCAAGGGCTCCGGAAAGCTGGACGGGCTCAGATTTCAAGTTGACACTGACATAAGGGGCACATTGGTCGGCTCCCAAAAAGTCCAGCGCGGCATGAGGTTGTTCTTCTAAACTAGCAAGTCACTCCATGAATATAAGCAGACCTGTCTCGGGCCAGAGCTTGCTCCTCGGGAGCTTTGCAGCTCACTTCCCAGGGAGGAGTAGCATCTGGCACCTTACCACCAAAGGCTCCATATTGTCCTTACAGCTCCTGATCTTTCCCAATAGTGGAAACACTTGTGTCTTGATTATTATAATAATCAAATAGGGATTTGGGCTGCATGAGCCCCAAAGATAAAGACAGCCTCTGGTCAAAAGAGCATCTGGGTCCTTCTAAAGAGACATAGAGGAGACCGGACACACTGTGTCCCGTTTTCCTGTTATTGATCTTTTATAGGTCTGAGGTGAGGTAACTACATACAGATTGTGGATACAAATACCTACTGAGTCTTCTTCCTGAGAATATACTTCATAGCAGAGGATTATCTCTCTTAAATAAATAAAAAAGTAAACAAACTTTCGTATGGTATGCATGGTTTAATTTCATTTTAAGACCCTTTCCTACATTCCCTACTGGTAAAAATGCAGTATTAATTGTATTGCTTGTACATAAAGTGCATTCAACTGACTAGGCATGTAGCCATGGTGTAAAAAAAAAAGTAAATAGCTGTCAGAATTCATTTGGCAGAAGCTGTGAGAAATGATCCTAACCACACAAATGCTATTGGACTCAGACTTAATGATCCATTGTGGATTTTAAAAAATTATTCCCACAACTTTTGGAGAGTAGCGATTAGTTCTGAACTGTAATTGGAAGTGGGAGGATGCTAAGGTGCTACATTAGAAATATGTAATTGTCAGAGAAAGAGACTTGGGAGTCAGGCTGGGTTCCTCAGATCTTGCTGAGTGATCTTTAGCAAGTCACTTGCAGCCGAAAAGGTGAATGTGTTTGCATCTTTTAAGTAACACACGTTTGGATTAATCAACTTGGGATCATTTTGGACTAATTTTAAGAGGTACTAATACACTTACAACTGCCTTTGACTTTAGCTGGAATTATGGATTCTTAATATCTCTGAAAATCCAGCATCTGAGCACTGTTGTACCAAAAATTCCTTGATGTCTCATTGTACTCATCAGTGAGTTAGGTGCTTTAATACTACTTATCCAACTTCTCTATAGCCTCAATCGTGCAAAGACTTATTCAGATACTTAACTTTACTTTGAGTCATCCCATTGAATGCATAGATATAAGCATGTGTGTAAATCTTTACAGGATCAGTGCTTCAGCTGGTAAGGATTAAATAGATGAGATGTTTTCCTTTCTCCTGTTGCTGTGTGGAAGACCAATAGAAACAACATAGGAAAATGATGTACTAACTTAATACACAGTGAAACTGGCTCTACAGTGCTGGCAAATGACCATAGTAAACAAAATGGAATATTTATCCCTAATCTCTGTCATTTGTGGCAACTCTGGGTGTTATTTGTAATACATTTTGAGGTAGAAGAGGGATTTATGTCAACAATCTCTCATTGCTTTGAGATTCTTGGAAGGGAAGTGCTACACAGAGTGGAAGTAATTATTATTTATTGTATTACTTTAATATTATTGAGTTTTTCTTTTCCTCCTTGTTGTTATTTAACCAGGGACCTTCACCTTCATGACAGAAGAGTGTGTCATGGCCTTTAGGATTCAAGATTTTAATAGGCTGAGGATTGACCGAGACTGAAGGATTCTGGGTTACTCATAAATCTCTCCAAACTAAGACACACCCACCCTTACACACACTCCCACTCTCCTCATTGCTACTGTTATTGGTTGTGAGTAAAAAGATGGCATCCAGCCTTACTTGCACTGGGATGATTTGGGCACTTCTCTCCTTCCTCTGTGCTGCTGCCTCCTGCATAGGATTCTTTATGCCCTACTGGCTATTGGGGTCCCAGCTGGAGAAGCCGGTGTCCTTTGGCACTTTCCGGAGGTGTTCCTATCCAGTGCGGGATGAGAGTCGCCAGACTACAGTGATGGTAGAGCAGTGTGGTCGCTATGCATCCTTTCAGGCTATCCCAAGTGCTGAATGGAGGATCTGCACTGTGGTGACGGGGCTGGGATGTGGCCTCCTCCTTTTGGTGGCGCTGACTGCGCTCATGGGCTGCTGTGTGTCCGAGCTCATCTCCAGAACTGTGGGCAGGGTAGCAGGAGGCATCCAGTTCCTGGGAGGTAAGTCACAAGCTTCTGATTTTTGTACTGTGCTTGTACCGTGACTGCATTATTTCCCCCATGCTTACAACAGCACCTCTGCAGGTTGCAGTCCACCTTGTTCATTCTCATGTACTGAAGTTTCTGCCAGGCTGGCATGTAACCTTTTGGAACAGTATGCTGCATTAAATCACTTACTACTGGGATTAGGTTGTAAGAGTACAATTAGATTGTAAGTTCTATGGGGCTTTTGCCTTGTGTTTTTGTTTTCAGAAATGTTGTTGACTTCAGTAGGGTTCTGCACAGGGGCACAGGGTCTATCTACTTGGACCACCTGCAGGGTCAAACCCCAGATTCCAACAGGAGAATCTTTATTACAGAATAGAGTGATCCAAAGCTTGATTCTCAAGTCCCAGGTGGAGTCTGCAGTGCTAACAGTTTAAGGGGATTTTATTTTCTTCTTGCTTGAGAACAGATTTAATTTCAAAGTTCCTGAGATGTTACACTTGGAACCCCACATGCTATGTTTATAGAGTCATTTTTTTCAGAGTAAATCATCACTGCATTGTTGTAAGTGCTACTGGAGCATTGCATATGTTTGAGCAATATTTTCCTCTTCAATAACCATTCACTTAAATGAAATTTTAGGCTGAACTATTTACAGTGGAGTTGGGTGTTTCTCTGGCATTCAGCACAGAAACCATAAAAGCTGTAATATTTCACACATCCTGTGATATCTGTATCTAGAAGTGCAAATTCAGAAAGCACAGTTGTGTGCTTCATTGGGATTTGTAATTCTCTTCCTTCCAAACAGAGGCTCAGGCACTAATGAAACGGAAATACATTTTAAGTGTATCATTGCAAATGTGGCTGCACTATGCATATTAAAGTTGACAATCAGGGGAAAGGAAGGCTATCTGGGCCAGATTCTGAGTTTGTGTATGTTGTAGCTCCATTAAGGAGCTCATTTATACCATCTGAACATCTGATCCAAAGCTTTAAAGTAATTTCTAGACTTGGAAATAAACGGACACTGTTGCTTACCCTTCTCTCTGCTGTGTGATCTACCAGGCATTTCTGTATTTAATATGGCTCACAATATGGAAGAAAATAGCAACACCTTGAGTGATAATTATGACAGTACCTTATAGTTCCAGAAGCTCACTTTGTCACAAAATTCCACCCTCTTCTGCACCCCCAGGCAGAGGGATGGAGATGTTTGATTAAATAATATTTGTGATCCCACTCAGACTGGTTATTTTCAAGTCCACCTCCTGCAAAGGTTTCACTTCTGATTACTTTTTAGCCACTGTGCTGTTTTTAATTTGTCTCTGATCAGATTATTTTAATTTTAATTTATCCAGTTTTCTGGCAGTGCTCCCTCCTTTCTGCAGGCTTGCTGGCTGAGCTGCTCCTGCTTCTGATTACATTCCATGCTAGTGAAATATGACAACCTTCTCAGTCAATGTTGAGGAAAGGGGAACAGGAAGAGTGGAAAACTCACAAATCTTTGCGGTTTTTGTCTTGTGCTGAAAGGATTCCATCCCTCTTCGATGGAGACTTGGAATCAAATGTGAGGCAGGAAGAGGCATCCTTAAGGTTACAGTAAAAGCCAGTGGCATTTTACAGCTGTGCAGGACAGCTTTCCAAGGAGGGGTGGCCCTAAGTGTTCAGAATTTATTTTTCGTGGGTGCTAATACAGAAGATCAGTGAACTTATGGTATAAACTAAAATCACAGACAACTGTACTTACAGTTCAGAAATTACTTACCCAGCATGTGTCATTTCCCTCTCTACTAGGTTTTAGAGTCGTCTCTGATTTCATGCAGACTGCTGGAAAATGCGTAAAAAATGAACAAATTGAGAAACCAGAAGATGCATGAAAAACAATTTAAGATAGTAAGGATGTAGGAGACAGGAGGTTCTGGTCGGTCAGAAACTTGGACAAGTTAAAGGGACGCTGTCAAAGTAAAGAGCGAATAGTCCTGCAGCACCTTAGAGACAAACAAAACATGTAGATGGTATTATGAGCTTTTGTGGGCACAACCCACTTCTTCATATAGAGCTCATGATACCATCTACATGTTTTCTTAGTCTCTAAGGTGCTGCAGGACTATTTGCCATTTTTTAAGTATTTTCAGTTACGGACTAACCCCTCTGAATCTGTCAAAGTAAAGAACATGGGTCTGAGCTTTAACTGGTGTAAAGCACCATAGTTCCAAGGTCTTAAGGACAGTTTACACCAGCTGAAGATTTCTCCCAGTTTCCTCCCCAAAAACCTCACTATTACTCTACCTGTATTATTAATCAAAACCTAGATTATTGAAATAAAAAGTATGTTAACTATTTAATGTGCTTTTCCTTTTTACACTATTTGTTTATACTTTTGCCTTTTACTCAGTTTGGCAGTGACTCTAGGTCCATCAGTTTCGCCTTCTGTTTATAGATGTTTTCGCTTTCCAATTGTCCTGCACCAGCACACTGATGCTGAATGTGCCGCCAACAATTCAGAGGGAATGTTTGAATGTAAAAGTATATTAACTGACATTAAACGCAAACATAAAAACATGATAGATTTTTCTAACTCATGGTGGGTTTTGATACTACTTTTACAGGGCTCTAACTTTTTAAAAAAACACTAACTTGGGTCAATAAAATGACTGGCCAAATGTCTTGAGATGCAGTTCTGCTACAGTGGTTGGGAGGGAGCCGGTGTTGACAAATTGACCTCATTGTCCTCTTATTGAGATGATGTGGGTGGGCAGTCTAGTAGACACAAGGCATTTGTCTCCTCTCATATCAGGAGTAACTCCAGGGAGATCCCTGGTAAACCCCAGTGCAAAACCAGTTTCGCCTGTACGAGTGAAATGATACCAAGGTTTTACAGCTGCAGGTTTCACAGATTTGTTGCTGTATGTAGCAACCAAAGGTTAGTTACTCATCCATATTTACTATAAACCAACTCTTCTCCTAAAAAAAACTGCAAATCCCCACAGAATAGGAACAGCTGTTTAAAAACTGGTTTGTCTAGCATTTAAGAGAATTATTTACTGTTTCACATGATCCCAAGAGTGGAGTCTGTATATATTTTAAAACAATACTAGTATAATATCCTGTGGAGGTTCTTAAATTTTTTCAGACTTAACAGAGAGATTGTCTTGTGGACTCTTCCCTCTCATTTTCAATCACACACTCCATTTCCCATACTATTTATGATCAGATGATATCATGACAGTAATTACAATTACTTACATAGAAAAGTAACATTAGGAAAGTGTTTAATGTAGATTTAATTTCTTCTTACACAGTTAGCAGCAGGAAAGAAGGAAAAGGCGCCAACAACATTTGGCCAGCCCGCTCTCTGTGGTCCATAGATCATAGTTTGAGAAATTGTTGCCACTGTAGTTGATGTTGGTACACTTTACAAGCACTTGTGCTGTATAGCTTCTGAATACTAACAACCAATGTGAAAGTTATACTGTTTATAACCTCTTGAGGGCACAGTTATGTAGCTGCATACAGGCTTTGCTGAGAACAGCAAGCTCAATGTATCTACCTGGTTTATTCTGACTGTGTGGAAGATTGATACATATATCATGTACCTATAATAGACTATATTGAAAGGTACGTCTTTAAAAATTACTATTGAGAGCATGACTGGAAAAAGGCAAAGTTTAACAAGTCTACAGCAAACCCTCCTCTGTAATTATTGATCCACTTTTCTTTTCACTGCAACTTGGCAAGTAAATTCCATTCTGATGGGTACAGTGGAAATTTGCAAGTAGATAGATTAGATATGACATACTAATGTGATGAATAAGTTCACTCTCTGAATGTGGAGCAATCCAATTAAATGCATAATGAACTAAAAGATTAACCAATTTTATTACAAGCAGTGTATCAAAAGATACAAGTATTTCACACACAGTACATTTAAATAGCATTATCTTGAAACACCTTTGGGAAGTGGCTAGCAAGGTGACTCTTCATAAAAAGGGTTGTCCATACAAAAGAGAAGGGACAAAGTCTGCACTTAGGCAAAACTCCCTTTCATTCTATACTGAGCCACATTCAGGAGAGACTGAATTGATGACCCACGATCTCTGATACATCTGTGAATTAGATTACACCCATTAGTCTTAGTTCTGGGATGCACGTTGTCACAGACTATAATGAGTGTCCCTTTTTGGCTGCCCACCAGGAATGTCAAAGGGACTCTAAGCCTTTGCACTCTGCATTCCCAAAGGTGTTTCAGGAATGTGAGGCATGAATGTAGTCAGCCGTTGCCCCCAACTTTAGGCACACTCACACGGCCCAGACTTTCTATCTGGCTCTCCCTCTCTCTGTTTTGGGACCTGCTGTCCAACCACCTATCCAGAGTGGCTGACCCTTCAGACTCCCCAGTACTCAAACACACTCTCCCGCAGAACTCCACCTCCAAGAAGTTATGCTTCTGGATTACAATTTAACTCTCTCAGGGGCACGCAGTATTTGTGAAGGACTCTCTCTGTCAGTAACTTACTCTTACTTTGTTCAATTTATCAAATTTTATGCTCTTTGTATTTCATCATATAAAGCATAGGAGAGTGCAGATGATACAAAACAATAAAATCTCCTGCACACAATGTCCCTCATTAGCTCATTCTTCCCTCGAGAAATCATCTATATTCTTCAGGCAAGAAGAGTCCTCCATCTCATTGTCTCCTTGCTCCTGCAGCAACTTCCTGTATTTTAATGTAGTGCAAGATGGCTCTGTCTCCTCTCATTTCCCCGATGAGTGCCTTTATAGAAGTAGGGATCGCCTAATTATTTTGCTCTGCCTTTTGCTGATTTTCCATTATTCTTAACCTGCTCATCCCTTAAGACAAGAAGAGAAAGTGTCTTCTCTCAGGTAGAGCAAGCCTATTGTCCCAACGCGTTTTACTTTGAATAGCTGATCACAGAATGCTGATCATTCACCATAGTCACTGGCCTGGGACAGACATGACACAGCCCTGCTAATTCATCAGGGGGGAATCAAC